CCCCAAAACCCCAAAACCCCATGAGTTAGCATTTGAATATATTTATAAATTCTTTAATAGTTAAGTTAAATTATAGCTATTTAATCTTTTAGTTGCTTGATGTTAAGTCACATTACTCCATCCATTTCTTGCATTCCCATCTCTTCCTCCTCCTTAATGACTCCAAGTTTGCCCTCTCTTCTTTGATTGAACCACATATGCTTGATTTCATTAATCTGCTTATCTAGTCTTTCTATTTCGAATCTGTAGGCATTAACCTATGATTGGTAGTTCTTTAGCTCGGCTACCATATCTTTAAGTTGTTTAGATCTCTCCTTTAGATTTTATTGATATATCTGAAGTTTCTCAGCTACTTCAGGTCCAGATTACTTGGCTAGAATATTTTTAAGCTCAATGTAGAGCTTCTCTTTCTCTTAAATCAATACATCCTTCTCACTGACTTCCTCAGTCTTAGCTATCAATCTCTTTTGTAAACTTTAAATCTTCTGAATCATCTCATATGTCTCAGGATCAGTGCATTCAAGTTTTCTCCATCTGTGGACGTTCAATGGCTTTTCAAGTTCATCCATCAAGAACTTAGCCTTTTGCTATTGCTCTAGGAGCTCTTTTTAGAGAAGGTAGATTTCTCTTCTTAAATCTGGTATACAAGCAGTTTCATTTTAGGAAACTATGAGTTCTCTCTTGAGCTCAGATATCTGCTTTTGAATGTTGCTTATATCCTCTACTCTCTCTTGATAATAGATTTCACCCTTTTTTAAAGTGGATTTTTATATCTTAATTTTCTCATATAGAAGAGCTAGCTCCTCGTTACGTTTAATGAGCTGAGTTCCGAGAATATCTCTTTCATTAATAACCATCTCATAATCCTTTCTCTGCTTCTACTTCTCAGCTTCTGCCTCTGAAATAACATACTTTAGTCTAGCGATATCATTTTCCTAGGTTTTAATCATCTCCTCAGATGACTCAATGTGTCTGGTTATTCTTTCAATATCTGACTCGAGTTTGGCATTTTCTCCTGCATATCTTTACTTATTCAAAGTCTCAGAGTGGATGTTTAAATCCTTAGAATTGATCTCTTCCTTTAGTTGAGAAATTTGCTGTGTCATTCTTCTGAATTTCATTTTCAATTCAGCAATTTCTTCCTATGCCTCTAGTAAATTCTTTGAATAAAGATTTCTATCGGATCTAACAGCTTCATACAGATTTTGTTGTTGCTTAAGTCTACCCTCAGCTTCGATATTTTTCTTCTGAAGCTTTGTAATAAGGTTATTCTTAAGCTTTACTTGCTCCAAGCATTGATAGTACTTGGCATTTGCTTGAGATGCTTCAATACCATACTTTTGCTTGTCCTTTTCAAGTTGATAGATTAGCTTTTGCAATTTTTATGCTTCAGCCTTATATCCTTAAATCTTATTCTGTAACTTCTTGAGTTCATTTTCAAGAGTTTAAATATTAGAGCCTTTATCTCTCTCTTTTTCTTCAGCTAATACTACATCTTTATTAAGTAAATCCCTTTCTCTCATTTTTTACTCTATTTCCTTCTTATCTTCGTCAACTGACTTCTTAAGTTTATCATATTCTCTGCTAAGTAGTTAAAGCTCTACTTTAAGATTATCCTTTTTAGACTCATTGCCATCTTTTTCCGATCTTAGTTCTGCATTTTTCTTAATAAGAATATTGAGCTGTTTTTCAAGTTTTCTATTCTTTGACTCCATCTCAGATAGTTCAGCCTAAATGACTTGCTACTATTCAAACTTGGATGCTGTCTAACTCTGAATCATTTATTTGTTTTAGTTATTTTCACTGAAAATCTTCTCACAATCCTCTTTCTCTATTTCTTTCTTTCTTATATTTTCCTTGGATTGCTAAAGTTTTGACTCTAATTGGTCAAGCTCGTCCTTCGCTCTCTTATTTTCTTCTCTCATGCCTCTAAGTTAATATTCTTTTTCAGTGAGGATTTTTTTCTTCTCCTCAGTATCCTTGTTCAAAGAGTCAATCTCTTTCTGTAGATCTTTTTTCTACTCATCCTTATCATTTTTCTTCTCTTTAGATTCTAGGATCATCTTGTTCAATTTCTCAATTTCATCGTGTGATTTCAAGATTTCAATTTCGGATGTTTTTCTTCTATCCATGAGATCCTTATTGTGCTGTTTAACTTAGTCTAACTTCTCATCCTGGTCTTCTCTTTACTTTTGCAATTCATCATATACTTTGCGAAGTTGACGTAGCTTGGTATCTTCTTCAAGATCAGTTTCTTACTGAGAGAGTCTTTTGAGATTTGCTATCTCACCTTTAAGTGTAGCAATTTTTTGTCTTTGCTTATCTTCTTTTTCTTTTTGATTTTCAACTTCCTCATAAGCTTTATTGACCTTTGTCTTAAGAGCATTAATCTTTTCTACTTCATTGCTTGCCATTCTTATGGCTGCTCGGACATTAGATGCCTTCTCAAAGATCTAATTGTTTAACTCCTTGCATTTCTTAATCAATTTCTTCTCTCCTTCATAACTTGTTTTGAGCGTTTTATGAATCTTTTAGTATTCATTTTTAAACTTTTCAAGGTTCTAATTACCAATAATCTCCTCCAAGAATTGCTTGAATTCTCTTTCTATGTCTTCGAATCTTTCAGGATCAAATCCAAGAGCATCTATTTCACGATTTATTTGAGCGTTGTCTTATATCGCCTCGAGATCCATCTGGGGCTCTTCAACATCTTAGTTAGCTGGGTCTGCTGACATTTATTTTTCTTAGAATAAATTACTATATTTTAATATATTGAACGTATACCTTCTATTTTATTTTAATTCTTCTTCATGGGGTTTTGGGGTTTTGGGGTTTTGGGG